TGCCTCTAAGTTCTCCTGGGCCAGGAACCTCCCACTCCCTCCACCTGCACATTGCTGTGAAAATATGCTCGTGAATATGTAGAACAAGCGAGCAATGGAACTTTTTTGTTATAATCCATGTAGACCATGAACTTATGTGTTACTGCAGCATAACACTTCCTCCTCCTTCTTCCTCTTTGGACCATCGCTGCCCTCATCACACTTTCTATAAGCACTTGTTTATGCATCTGTCTTTCTTGGGGTACAATGAACTCACCATGGATCTGGTCAAAGAAAACACTCCAACAATGTGTGGGTATTTCTGTGGCAGAAGTTGTGGTGAGACTATCAAAGATATCTGAGCATAGGAGTGTCCTAGAGAGGACAGTGCTCTGAGTGGGAAGGTATGAAATGGAAAGGGGACTTCAAGGAAAAGAAAGAATGCTACTTCTAACTATAAATGAAACATTACTCATTGGAGTCTTAATTGCATGGGTTCAGTGTCAAATTGCCCTGTTGTGTAGTGTTCACTGGGTAGCACACATTTAGAAATCAGTATGTGCTTTATTTAAAAATATTAGCATTTCAGGGGCGGGGCTCAGTGATAATGCTTACCTACTATGCATGAGTCCCCAGATTCCATCTTCAGCACTAAACGCATCTACGGAAACATTATTTTAGAATTCTGAGCTATTTGTATATTTAGATAGTTCTACTGGAGGCTGCTATTCTACCCTCCCTCTCCTTTTCAGTCCTGGTAATCGAACCTGGGCCCTTGTGTATGAACAGCGAGTATACTACCTCTGAGCTACACCAATCGCTCATTTTATACTGAGACAGGGCTTAAAGTTCCCAGGCTTGTTTATAGGTGTGCAATACCACAGCCAGCTGCAACTTCTTATATTAATAGTACATCTATTGCCCACTCATTCACAAAAGAAGAGTAAGTAAAACACAAGAGTGTAGACTGTTTCACATTCACACAGCTTAGTAATGGAGAGATGTCCTAATACTGTGAGTTATATATATCCACAGTGAATAAAACCTTGAAAGCAAACAATCCCTACCCCACTGTATGTATGGATTCTCCTCCTCACATACATATTGGGAGAATTAAACTGTAATATATAGGCCATATAGAAATAAGAACAGCACTTAACATATACTAGGAAAATCAAAAGCTACTGTTTAAGGTAGAAATGTTATTTTTTAACATCCTCAGTTTATTATAGAATAATGCCTAACTCGTCTTTAAACTTCTACCATGAAAATGTTTGATTATGTTTACATGTGCTTGGAAATGCACTATTAAAATATCAAAGAATTTGGGTAAGAAAGAAAACTTAAAGTGTTATGAGACTTTTAAAAAGTATTTAATGGGGCTGCAGAGATAGCTCAGCAGTCTAAGCACCTACCTGGCAAGCGCAAGGACCTGGGTTTGATCCCCGGTACCATACGCCATGCCCGCCCCAGAGCCCTGGGCACAGTGTGGCAGCCATCAAAGCCAGGCACAGTGGTGCAGGCCTGTAATTCCAGTGCTGGGGGAGGCTGACACAGGAGGGTCACTGAACTCTGAACTGGTGTAGGGAGACCCCGTACCGAATAAATAAAAGATTTAAAAATTTAAAAATATTTAAGGAAAATTAAGCTACACATAAGTAAAAAGTATGACGAATCGTGAACATGTACCAGCTCCCTACGATGAATGTAATCATTGTGTGCAAATATATGTTAAGAAAAAAAAATTTAAATTAAAATGTTGTACACATAAAATAAAACAATAAAAAAATAAAAATATTAGCATTTCAATTGTGCCAGTATAACAATTTTGAGACTAGTTAGACTTAAGATAAAAATTTAAGGATATACACACTAAGGAACATTAGTTGAATGAATGAATGAATGAATGAATGAATGAATAGTGCCTTACATATCAGCTAATATTAAATATGGCTGGGAGGGCTGGGGAGATAGTTCAGTGGTCTAAGGGCCTGCCTGGCAAGCATAAGGACCCGGGTTCAACCCACGGGCACAGCACAAAGATCACCGTTTGATCTTTGGCCAGATCCATGGTAGCTAAGACAGGAGGATCACTATGAGTCCGAGTTGCATAGCAAGACCCTATACCAATTGAATAAGTAAATAAATAAATAAGGCTGGGAGTGACTGAAAAGTCAACAGAGCAATGACATAAACAAACAAAAAAAAGGTTTTTATATTCCTGAAATATAGTTGAGGTTAAAATGTCTCTCACCTGTAAAGACATGGGGCTGGGCAGTCCAAGTCCAGTGTGGCAGTGTTGCGGTAATCCTAGCTGGTAGTTACCATCCTCAACTCCATGGTTCACCTTGGCCGGTGCAGCTCTTGCCATTGTGTCCACACTCCAACTACCAAGAAGAAAGAAAGACAAGGAAAAGAGAATCCTCTTCTAGGATAATTCCCACAAGCGGTACCAGTGCTTGTGCTTATATCTAACTGGCCAAAATGTAAAGAAAGGTAGGAAAAACACTCCATTCTAGGAACCTTGTACCTGGTACATACTGGAGGATCTGAAGAACATATATTAAGGGACAATGACCAATGTACCCCATATGTACATATGGGTAACTCATAGGCATTTTGAACTGCATATAACAACTTGAATTCATCCTTCCTGCAAACCTGGTTCTCCTCCAGTCTTCTCCGTCTCAGCCAATGGAGAGCCGCAGGTTCCTTGGGCTGATGATTAGGTACCATGCAACCCACTACATCTGTAGCATTTAATAAAATGTCTGCATTCTGTTACCCAGGGTGCCCAGGGTGTGGTGGGGCTGCAGAATCTCAGCCCCAGGACTGCTGACCGAGAATCTGCATAAAAAATTATCAGTAGGCAATTCCCAAGCACAGCCAAGCACACTGCTCTACGGCATACTAACCACAGTAGTAATTACAACAGTAACCTTTACAGGGTGTTGATAATGCTCCGGGCAGCATCGGGCACACATTAATCTCTATTAACTCTCGCACCTCTCACAGCAACCCCGTGGGATAGCTATCATTTAACAATCTTGCTTTGCAGGTGAGGCAGCTAAGGCACAGGGAGATAAAGCAGCTTGCTCAGGTCACACGCCTAGTAGCAGCAGAACAGGTGTGAGTGGTACTCAAGTGCAAGAAGATCTGCAGGATGTGGCACGGTAGAAGGTACACAGCAGGTGCTTAGTGACATTTTGATAAATGCTAAGTAGAGAGCCGAGATTTGAACACAGGCTAAATGGCTCCAGCCCTAGTTCTGGAGCTGACAGTCTGCAGCAACACCCGGCCCTGGGTACCCTGAGTTAACAAAGTTCAGACATTTTATTAAATGCCACAGATGTAGTGGGTTGCACGGTCCCTAATCATCAGCCCAAGGAACTGACGCCTCTCCATTGGCTGAGACGGAGAAGACTGGAGGAGAACCAGGTTTGGAGGAAAGATGAGTCCAAGTTTATCATATTCAATTCAAAATGCTTATGAGTTACCCATGTGTACATATTGGGTACATTTATCATTGTCCCTTAATATGTGTTCTCTTCTTCTCCAGATCCTCCAGATTGCGGCAGGTACAGGGGGTGTGCGATAAATATCCATCAAGCTCATCTTCCTGGTCTTGCGCAGTATTTGGCACACATTGGATGCACACCTTTGACACGTGATGAATGACTGCATACACAAAAGAGCTGCAGAGTCAGGGAGGCGGGTCTCTCTGCAACCTGATTTGGAACTGTCAGCCCAAATAGAATGAGAAGCACCCTGAGATTGGAGAGGCTGCCTTCCCGTGCTCAAGTTCTGACAAGCCTGAGAGGAAAATGGCATGACACCAACAGAAACAACCAAAATGTCACTAGTCCCCCCTGCAAATTCACTGCCTAGTACTCTGCATCTTTCTGGGGCTCTGCACAATGTGCCTCACCAGTGCTCACTCAAAAGCCTTGCCATGCCCAGGGGCCTCACCCTTCTGTTACTTCTCATGAGACACTTTGGTCCTTTGGGCCAGTCACTGTGACTGTGTCCTGCGGGTCCCCCAGTCTCCCCACCTCTGGCTGCAGACTGCATGCTGGAGGGCTCACTCTGCTGATCCTGAACTCACTGCGAGCCCAACTAGAGGAGAATACCGCGGGCCTTTTGTGCGACACACTGCACCGCATATACTAAGGCTGGACGACATGTGTGCCTGCCTTCATGGAGAAGGCAGACAAACCGGCCAAGGCTTAGGTCCGCATTCGTCCTCCTCCGCAGGGCCCAGGTACATATCGGCACGAGTCCACCAGTCAGTCTTGGAATCAGCGCTGGATCTACTGGCCATCCTGGATCCCAAGTCCTCTGCTAAGTTCTGTCCCCATGGGCTCTTCAGACCGCATTAAGAGATTTCCATAAAGTACTTACAAATTTGACAGAAGTCCCAAGTGATTGTGACCATCACCTTAATCTTAATTTTTCCCCAAACCTGCTGTTCTCTTGTAATGAACTAATGCATTATAATGCTGAACTTCTGTTTATAAAAACAGACTGGAATTTCTAAGGGTGCGTGCGTCCATTCAGTGTGAAGGCATGCGCCCTTCAGGTCATTGTGCCCTACATCTTGCTAAGATGCCCTCGTATTCACTACCACTTATTCCTAGGGTGCAGGCACTTCCATCATAAACCTTATGAAAAAGTGCCACTTCTCCATGTTAGAGAAAACGTATTCAACGAAGTTATGCAACATTTATCAATAAATAAAACTGGGTCCGTACCCACGACCATCTGTCTCAAGCACAATTAATATACTTTGACTCTGTGGGCCAAGGATATTCAATCAGTGGGCGTGATATCGTTCCCTCTTAGAAGAAAAAAAGAAGAGATAACCCAGTGATGATCAGCGCTTTGCTTTTTCCTTTCGCCTTCCAGCCCAGATCTTGGCCCAGAGCTCAGCGCATTGGGAGCGAGGCCCCGCCCCGGCCCCGCCCCGGCCCCGCCCCGGCCCCGCCCCGACCCCTCCCCCAGCCAAGGCGGTCCCTGTTCCTTCCTGCAGTCACTTCCTGTCCAGCTGGGGCGCATCGGGTCGGTCCAGTGGAGCGGCACAGTGATCACCCTCGGGACTTGGTCGCGGAGTAGCCTTGAGGTCCCAGCACGGGCTGCCCGTTTGAGCCCCGCGGGTGGTACGGTACGGTACAAGCTGCGGGCTGGGTGTCCACCGTGGACGCGGGGAGCGGTTGCCAGGCAACGGTGCGGCCGGCCCCGCCCTCCGGCCTAGGTTGTAGGCTGCGCCAGACGCCGCGGACAGTGCGGGTCCCCGCAGCTTCTGCCCCAGCGGAGCACAACCCTCGGTGCCCAGACGGCGGCCCTGCCCTGTCATTTGCGTCCCCAGGCAGGTGGCCCTGGACGCGGTTATGTTTCAGCTATAAAGAACCTATAGCGATCATTCGGCCAAGCCACAACCGCCCACCTGTTTTCTAGATAAGGTGCCTTTCCTGCCAGGTGCTACATTCACCCATGAATCGTCCTCCAGGTTTGTTTCAGTTTCCGTAGCCCAGGTGAGGCTCAGAGGCTAGGCGAGTTGCGACTTTAGCCAGTGTCACACAGCTTGTAATAGGTGGAGGTAAGGACACAGATCCCCAGAGCAAGTAACTCACAGCTTGCTCAGGGAAGATTTATATTCCGAAGTTTCGGGCAGGTGTGTTACACGTGCCCGCCACCACACCTACATGTGATCAGAATCGCCTGGAGTATTCTTAAAAGCGTACACTCCGTACACTCTCCAGGCGTACCGATTGAGAATCTTTCGGGACCCATTCGAGGAATATGTTGTACAAGCTTTCTGGATGATCTTTAGGGTGTATGGATGAAGTTTGGATGCCACCCAGCACCCCAGGCAGCCTCTCACTCGAACAGCTAAGGTGAAAAATCCACCAAACCTTGGAAAGAATTTGAGAGGACGCCAGGTACATGTTAGTATCAAGATCTGATCCTTCCAGCCCTGTGTAGCTTCTCTTCAGAAACAAGCCAGACACACATATTATAATCAAGTAGAGGCATTTCAATGCGAAGTCTAGTGACCCAAGACAGGCCTCAGCACCCCCTTCGTCTCTGGCGGCCTGTCTGTCACTTTTCTCCTACTCCCTCTCCTTCATGGCGGTCTCTGAATCACGGTGGCTCATGTTGGCTTTGGAGAGTTTGATTTGCAGAGCAGTTTGGCCAGTGGACGAGGGCTAGCAGCAGCTCTCTGGGGGAATCAGCACAGGTCAGGAGCATCCTTTGGCCAAAGGAGTAAGCAGCAGCCGGAGTAAAGTGGATTTCCTTGGTGTTATTCAAGGCATTTATGAACACAAGTCTGTCTTTAAAATAATCACTCGGCTCTTAGTCGTAGACGGCTTCTAAGCCTGACAGTTCTGTTTAGTGTTTTATTATTAATCTCATCATTTATGCTGTCTCCCTTAGAAATTTGCTCATCATGGCTGATGATCAAGAGAAGGACTTGCAGAAGTTTCTTAAAAATGTGGATGAAATCAGTAAGTACCCAGTAAATCATAAACAAATTGCATTCTGCTTTGGAAAGATAGAGTGGCTAACGACAAGTGATAAAGTTAGTTCCGGAGTTGTTTGACAGTTTTATGACCCTTAAGAAAAAAATGTTATTGAAATTTTTGAAAGAAGGATATTGAGAAATAAGTTGTGCCCTGGAGGCAGTATATTTCGGCTGTTAATTGATACCCTAAAAGCTGTTAACATTCAGATTGGTATTCAGGCTGACAGCTTCCCTCCGTATTTCACCCTCTTTTCAGTCAGAAGGAGCAGCAGTTTTTCCTCAGTAGCCAATGGGCCTATCCATTGCCTTCTAGGGAGGTCAGTCAAGAGCTGACAGCGATCAGCCTGGGACCCTCCTGTTGAGAGTTCTGGTTTTGAACTGTACATTCAAAAGCAAATTACTTTCCCTCGAGGTCTATTAAATTACACGGATGGCTTTTTAATATTATTATTATTCTCTCACCATCTCACTTCATGAGAAGATGCTTCTCCAGTTCAGACAGGGACCTCAGAAAATGTACACTGATCCCACGCGTTGCATTCAGAAGATTCCAAGGCAGTCAGACCTTGTTCAGACCCCGGGGAGCTTATCTGAAGTGGAATCAAGCCAACAAGCTAATAAGCCTTCTAGCAAATAGAAATCTATTAAAATGCTGCTTCTAGCACATTGCACAGGTGCAAAGAATTTTAAAAATACGTAGGGTGCTCTCATG